TAATACAATGATAATATGTGGCTAAACAGAAAAATAAGTTGTGGTTAACTAAAACTGTGCCATTGCCCTCTACATGCCAAACCAACATTTGCTTTCTATCAATATTTCTTTTTATATACTCTTCTTTCAGGAAATTGGTAAGCACCCCGACTTGTCTGAGGAGGAAATGGCGAAGTTGGCAGCTCTAAAATATCAAGAAAATGTGCCTCATAATCGAGCTTGGTATCGTATAAACGCCACCCGTGGATTGACCGGAGGAAACAAGTTGGTGCCCACTATGAAGAAAGATCTGCAGGATGTATGTTCATGAGTGCTATTTATTTATTTATTTATTTATTTATTTATTTATTTATTTATTTATTGTTTGACAATTTGATATGGGTGTTTATTTTACATGCATATAATATAACTAATCATGGGAATAAAAAAAAAAAAAACAAGCTTCCTAAATGCAGGCACATGATAAGAAAATTCAAATAACTTCACACTTTTTGTGAATCAGTAACAAATCAATATCTGAAGTTTTCTTATCATGCAGGCACATGATAAGAAAATTTCAGTTAACATTCTGTTGGTTAATGCTTAAGATATGAACAACTGTGAGAATAAACATAACTTAGTGGTACATATACAAAAACAATATATGAATCCGGTACAATACACTTAAACTTTGCACACAAACTATTTTTTATCTGCATGTATCTGGACTAAACCTTAAAAAACATGATGATTCATTGTATTGCAGATGTTAAATATATATATAGCAGACTTTGGGAGCAGTTTGAACACCTAAAATCATGCATATTTTTCTTGTTAAAGTTTGAAAATTAGTAATAATTTGAACATCATTGTATTGTAAGATGCAGTTTGCAGAATATTACAAAGTATTGTTACACTTACAGTGCATAACTAATAAAAGCATGTATTAAATAGATCTATGAGGCAGCCAAGCACCATGAGCCAGAAAAAGATCGACTGGCATCCCAGGGGAGCCTGACTGACCTCAGTGAGAAGGGTACTAGGGCCGTCATTGAATTCACCGCCACCTCGTGTGCTGTACTGGAGAACGAAAAGCGTGTGAGGATTGGCATCAGACGAAGTGGGAAATTGGACTCAAAAGTGATCTTCAGGTGATTATTGTGCTTTTCTTTTGCCACTTATTGTGGTGCCTGGGATTAATAGTTCAAAGGAGCAAACATTTTGTGGGAAAACATATCAAGTCTTGTGACTTAAGAGTTTGCATCATAGGTTAAATGTGCTATGTGTAAAACATTTGAACTTTTCTTAGTTGTTTCATTTAATTTCATCAATACTTGGGACTTGGGAATATTTAAATGGCCAGTGATGACATAAAAATATGAACGGAAAATGTGAAGTCAAGCATAAAGAAGTTTTTAAAGCATCATCAAATCAAAAGTAATTTTAATGATGTATCTTTCATCAATAATTTGTCCTCTTTGCTTTTAGAGGTGCACTTAAGCATTAATGGAATTAAGACTCACTCCTATTTTAAGTGGGAGAGTTGTTTTGGATATTTCATCTTATATTTGCATTATTCTTTTTAGTATGTATAAACCAATGACATTTTACATATTTTCATTTGGTTCTTGACTGTCTGTTATTATCCATTGTAAGTATGTGGTTAATGCCCCCCCCC